GGTGGCCGCCGTTTCCCGCTTCCGGCAGAGACCACCGGGACCACAATGCAACGCGGCGCCCAGCCAATGGGCCGCGTCCTGCTGCACAAACGCAGAGAGACGCGATTCCCAGAGGGCAGCGGGCGAACGCGCCGCGGAGGACTACAAGCCCCAGCGGGCGACGCTCGGCCGCGCCCGGGACAACCGGGTCCCGCACGGGACGACCGGCCGGCGCCTGGCCCGCGCCCCAGGATCCTCCGCGGGCAAGATGGCCACTCCAGGGACTGAGGCCGAGGTGAGCGGGCGCTAGGCCGGGGCGCCCCTCTGGCCCTCCTCCGGGACCTGGGGCCTCGCAGGGGGAAGTCACGTCTTATCCTACAGATGCATCAGGACATCTCTCGCTGTGGCCACGGAGACATCCAGGTAGACCCTCTGTCTTGGTAGACAACCCGAGCATTTCGCAGCCCCGGCGTGGAAGCCCCGGGAAGGCTGCGGAATAAACGCCGCTTGCGCTCGGACCGAGGCACGAGGCCAGTCCAGCAGGTCCCTCTGTTCCGACAGGTGCAACCCTGAGCGCTCCATGCCTGCGGGCAAGGGGAGGCATGGCCTCCCCCTGGGCCACCCTCTCTACTGGTTGCTCTGTGTGTTCACTTTAAAGTTCTGGTAAGGAGGGACTGGCAAGGGAAAACCGGATTGTCCCTGCAGGTTGAGGGTATTCCCCCGTTTTCTGGATTCTGACTTTAGCCCTTTCCCCCCCTTTCGCTTGCCCACTGCAGCCAAGCAGAGACACCCATGCGAGAGGAGAAGCTGTCAGGTGGGTGATTGTCTAGGAACCAGCACCCGCAAAGCTTTTCTGCTTGTGTTTAATGTCTTACCTGTATACCAGAAGCATAGGTGGGAAAGGATGGCATCAGGTGGAATGACAGCTAGCACTGTACTGGGAAGTTAGGTGGTCAGAGTCTTTGAAAGGTTTCCAAATGGTCTGGGGCTGACATTTCTCTCCCCTTTCAGCCAGCACCTCAAATTTGCCTTGCTGGCTGGTGGAAGAGTTCGTGGTTGTAGAAGAGTGTGGTCCATGTTCTAATTTCCAGGTGGTGAGTATCTATTTTCTCTTCGCTTTTTTCACATCTAAACAGTCCTCAAGTCTTTATTTTATTTATTTATTTTTTTTGGGGGGGGTAGGGGAGAAGTTTTTGCTATAGGGCACATGCGCTCACCAGAAAGAGACAGAAAGTGAGAAATCATCCCCCAGGGGGGATGACCACGCCTCAATCGCTTCTCCTCCACTCTCTTCTCAGGATCTTGAACACACGCCCGGTGTGAGTTTCAGCCACCGGTCTGGGACTCAAACTGCAGTCAACTACATGGGAGTTCAGTGACATAGCCATTAAGCCAACTGCTCAGTCCTCAAGTCTTATTAAGCATGTCTATACCTAAGCATGCTTTTAATTTTTTTCCTTGCAATCTTTTTTTTTTTTTTTTTAGGTTTTCGCTATAGGGCGCGTGTGCTCACCAGACAGACAGAGAGAGACATAGAGACAGAAAGCGAGAAATCACCCCCTAGGGAGGATGGTCACACCGCAGTCCCTTCTCCTCCATTCTCCTCTTGGGATCCTGGGCATGCATGCACACGCGCCCGACGTGAGTTCTAAGCCGCCGGGTCCAGGATGTGAACCGCGGTCAACTATGTGGGAATCCAGCGACATAGCCATTACGCTAACTGCTGGTTCCCATAATCTTAATATATGTCCAAATTTGAACTTGTTCTCTCTGAAAACGTGAAAACGTGCTCGGTACTTCCCAAGCTAATAGCAGTATTGAGCTGATAACTGCTATGTTACTTTACTTTTTTTTTTTTTTTTTTTTTTTAGATTTTTGCTGTAGGGCATTTACATATTCAGAGAAGGACAGTACAAAATCAGGGGATGGTCACACTGCAATTCCTTTTCCTCCAGTCTCCTCTTGGGATTTTGGCCATGCACGCACACATGCCTGGTGTATTTATCTTTTCTTTCTTTTTTAATATTTTAACTTTATTTTTTATTTAATTTACTTATTTTAATTAGACCAGAGAGGGAGAGAGAAAGAGAGAGATGGAAAGTGAGAAAGCAAGCCACCAGGTCTGGGACTGGAACTCCAGTTAGCCATGTGGGAGTCCAGTGCCCTTAACCACCATGCCACCTGCCAACCCTTCTTATTTTTTTTTTTTTTAAAGAATTATGTACTTAATTTTTCCCCCTAGAGAGATACGCTATAGGGTGTATGTGCTCACCAGAGAGAGAGAAAAATAGAAAGCTAGAAATCACTCAACCCCTCGGGGGGGGGGGATGGCCACGCCACTATCCCTTCTCCATTCTCCTCTCAGGATCTTGGGTATGCACACACACACCCAGTGACCACCAGGCCACTTGTGGGTCACTCTGGTGTGTTTTTCAGGTAGCAGGGTCTGGAACTCCAACTACAGCGTCAGCCATGTGGGATCTAGTGCTTTAACCAGATCTTGCTATCTACTGACTCAATGTTCTGTTTTTTGTTTTGTTTTGTTTTGTTTTTTAATTTTTTATTTGGGACCAGATGGCATAATGGTTACATTACTGGACTCCCACATGACACAGTTTGAGTCTGGAATCCAAAAGCTTGAAATTGACATTGGGCACATGTGCAAACACGCCTAAAATCCCAACAGGAGAATGAAGGAGAAGGGATCGTGGCATGGCCATCCCCCCAGAGGGGGATTTCTCACTTTCTGTCTCTATCTTTGTCTATCTAGGAAACATACACACCCTATAGCAAAAACATCTCTCTCTCAAAAAATTGTTTAATTTGGGAACCAGCAGTTAGCGTAATGGCTATGTCGCTGGACTCCCACGTAGTCGACCGTGGTTCGTGTCTCGGACCCAGTGGCTTAAAACTCACGCCGGGCGCGTGTGCGTGCGTGCCCAAGATCCCGAGAGGAGAATGGAGGAGAAGGGATTGCGGCGTGACCATCCCCCCTGGGGGGTGATTTCTCGCTTTCTGTCTCTCTGTCTGTCGGGCGAGCGCACGCGCCCTACAGTGAAAACTCTCTCCAAAAAAAAAAAAATTGTTTAATTTTATTTATTATTATTTTGTTTAAATTTGCTAGAGAGCATGTGTGTTCACCAGAGAGGGAGAGAGAAAGTGAGAAACCAAGCAGCCAGGTCCAGGACTCGTCCTATGATCAGCCATGTGGTTGTCTAGCGCCCCAACTACCATGCCACCTGCTGGCCCCGTTTATTGTTAGTACAGTAGGATCTAGAATCGGTCATCACCTCTTTCATAGTACTGCCCCTGAACTGTTCTTTGTAATACACATTGCTGGCACCAGCCAATGGTGTAATGGTTACATTGTTGGACTCCTATGTAGTCTACCACGGTTCAAGTCCCAGACCCAGTGGCTTAAAACTCAGCACAAGGGGTATGTGCGTGCATCTCCAAGATCCTGAGAGGAGAATGGAGAAGGGATTGCAGTGTGGCCATCGCCCTGGGGGGTGATTTCGCACTTTCTATCTCTCTGTCTCTCTCTCTCCAGCGAGCTCACATGCCCTATAGCAAAAATCTCAAGAAAACCCGTAATACACATTGCTAATTATGCTGTCACTACCTCTACCATGTATCAGAATTCTTCATTAGGTCTCTGCTGCCTAAGTTCTAAGCCATAGCACTTGGGGACCTGTCCCTTCTGAAAGGAAGCCGTTCTCTTTATTGCTCCTCCCTAATGTGTACTTTGGTCCTTTTCTTCTTGCAGAAAACCAACCGTGAGTGTGGTTCCACAGGGTATGTAGAGAAAATCACATGTAGCTCAACCAAGAAGAGTGAGTTCAAAAGGTGAGTGTTGGGACGAGCAGATGGCATAATGGTTATGTCACTGGACTCCCACATAGTCAACTGCGGTTCGAGTCCTGGACCAGGTGGCTTAAAACTCACACCAGGCATGTGTGCGTGCATACCCAAAATCCCAAGAGGAGAACGGAGGAGAAGGGACTGGTGTGTGGCCATCCCCCCTGGGGGGTGATTTCTCACTTTCTGTCTCTTTGTCTCTCTGGCGAGCTCATATGCCCTGTAGCAAAAATCTCTCTTAAAAAAATATAAAGGTGAGTGCTATTTCTCTTCTGAGATCACTTCCTTTGCTCCTGTGACCCGAGGTAGAAGATCCCACTTCTTTTTCTTGGTCAGGGAGTATCATGGCCTATTGGCAAGAGGAGGGGGTTTTGAGCCAAATTAATTGAACCCATATTGTAGCTCTACTCCTCAGCAGTATATTATTGGACATATTTTCTTATTAATAATATTAACATTAGTCCTGCATATCTTACCACAGAATAAATACACATCTGGGCCAGCTAGTGTCATGGCAGTTAAGGTGGCCGGATCCTACATGGCCAATGGTGTGATTTGAATCCTAGACCCAACAACTTGAAAAACGCACTGCCTGTATGTGTGTTTGTGTCCAAAATCCCACGAGAAGAATGAAAAGAAGGGATTGCAGAATGGCCATCCTACCTAGGGAGTGATTTCTTACTTTCTCTCTGTCTTTCTTTGCTGAATGCATAAGCCTTCTGACAAATTTTAAAAAATAAGTAAAATGATATAATCAAGAGGGATTTATGTATTATACACATTAGGAGGCTGACTCTGGCTTCCTCTTTTCCTCTTGAGTATATCTTGGTAGGTTGGAGGAGAGAGGTCAGAGAGCAGCTCTGTGTAGAGGTTAGAGAAGCTAACCTCTGGAATAACTGTTCTTCTGTCCCCAGCTGCCGCTCAGCTCTGATGGAACAACACTTATTTTGGAAATTCGAAGGGGCTGTTGTGGGTGTGGCCTTGGTCTTCGCTTGCCTTGTCATCATCCGTCAGCGTCAACTGGACAGGAAAGCTCTGGAGAAGGTCCGGAAGCAAATTGAGTCCATATAGCTACATCCTACCGTTTTACCCAGGGTCTTAGGGACCCTTTTTCAGATGGAGAAAGCGTAATGGACTGATTCGCACCCTTGGTTCTTTGGTGCCTTGTGGTGGCATCCCCTTCTCCCCATCTTCCTCTTTCAGATCAGTAATGAACAGAATAAAAAAGAATAAAACAGCTTCCTTTCCTACTGTCATTTGGTTTAGGGTGGGATGTCATGGGACAGAGAGGGAAAGGGAGTGGCAGCTGTAGGCCCTAGCCTACCAAGTATCCATCTTCCCCCTCTATTATTTAAAACTTTGGGATATTATCTTAGCTAAAATGTTTATTTTTCAGTCAAAACTTCTGTTTCCCCCCAACCTATTCCCAAGGAAGAAATAAAATCACACATACATAACAACAAAAGTATCGTGTCCCCTCACATAGGCAGACTGAGGCTTGGTACAGACATCCAGGGTGTCCTGAAGTGATTCAGATTCTCAAGGGCAAAGACACCCAGTGGGACTCCCACCCAGAGGGGAAGCGGAGCTGAATGGAGAGCTGTGGATTCCTTGTGCTCGGGAAGTGGGCAGGAAGGGCTGTCCCCATCTCACATCTCATCTGCGTGCAGCACAGTTCTGATGTGTCCACTGGGTCCTGTCTTTCCTCCAGTCTTCTTGAGTAGTGTCCTTGATGAGCCATTTGCACTCTTGGCTCCGGGTGGTTCTCCCAGTCTGGACTCCAGTACTGGGTCCTCCAGATTTTCTGTCATATCCTTGTGTGTCAGTATATTTCTGGAAATCACTAAAGTGAAGGGAAAGGGGCAGTAAGAGAGTGATCCCTGGGGCCAGCAGGTGGAGTGGGGGTTGAAGGCATTGGATTCCCCACATGGCCGGCCGACCATGGTTTGAGGCCCAGACCTGATGGCTTGCTTTCTTGCTTTCCCTTTCTCTCTGTGTCTCCGTCTGGTCAAATTAAAAAATAATAACAGGGGCCGGCAGGTGGTATGGTGAAGGGTGCTGGAATTCCACATGGCTGAGCACGGTTCAAGTCCTGGACCTGGTGGCTTGATTTCTCACTTTCCCTCTCACTATGTCCCTCTCTGGTCAAATTAAAATAAATAAAGACAAATAAAATAATTCTTTAAAAAAATAATAACAGGGGCCAGCAGTTGGCATAATGGCTATGTCGCTGGACTCCCATGTAGTTGACCGCGGTTCGAGTCCCGGACCCAGTGGCTTAAACTCATGCTGGCGTGTATGTGTGTGTGCCCAAGATCGTGAGAGGAGGATGGAGGAGAAGGGACTGTGATGTGGCCATCCCCTCTGGGGGGTGATTTCTCGCTTTCTGTCTCTGTCTTTCTGACGCACGCATGTGCCCTATAGTAAAAACCTCAAAAAAAAAAAAAAAAAAAAGGAATTAAATAATCCTTTAAAAAAAGAACACACAGTTTGGGGGTGGGGGTGATCCTGAGTAGGAAACACTAGATAGGACAGGACCTGCCTCCCACTTCTGGACTGACAGAGAAGAGTCCTCCCCTTGCTCACTAGAAGTCCCTTCCTGCCCTTGCCTCTCACCTCCATGAGGCTGGTATTCCTCAGGCCCAGCTTCTGGTAGACTCTGAAAGGGGCTGAAGCTGGGCAGGATGATGAGAGCCAGGGAAAAAAGAAGGATCTGGAAGGAAGCAAAAGGATACTTGGGCTGTGGGGACAATAAAGGGAGCAGAAGGCAGAGTGGATGGGGGGCAGTCAGGGTTGTCGGGGACAGGAAGGGAGATGCAGCTGGGTAGGGAGCTGTCAGGTGGAACCGTGGAGGAAGGTGGCGGCAGTGCTGGGAAAGGAAGTAGACAGACAGACAGACCGTACCAGGACACAAGTGCTGGTCTGGGCAGCTTTGTTGGAGGTTTGAGCAATGAGTGTCTGCAGCTGGCGGAGTTGCCCCACCAATGAGCTGGGAAAAGAGGAATGAAGAGTTAGTATCTGGGAACCAGAGTCTGAGGTGCCCCTTTGTGCTGACGCCTCCTCTCTACCCCCGCACTCACCCCCACTCCCTTCACTCACGTATTGTGCCTCTCCAGCTCCCGGACTTTCTCCTGCAGTTCCTGGTTCTGTGCAGAACAAGCTGCCACCCTAGGGAATGTAGAAAGGCAGGGCAAACCTCGGCAATCTGAGTCCCTTATTTTGCCTGGCTTAGTGTGTGTGTGTGTGTGTGTGTGAGACAGACAGACAGACAGATGTAGCCCGTGGGAGCCAGAAATACAAGGCTGAGCATACCTGCTCTCCAGCCCATCGATGTACTCTTTCTTGCGCCGCCGACTGTCCTGAGCTGATTGCTTGTTACGGATTTTCCTCCTGACCTTCTTGAGGATCCTCTCCTCTGCCTGGAGGCCCAGAGATGTCAGTCCTGGGCCCTTAACCGGCCCCAACTCCTGAGCAACCATGGTGGAAGCCCTGAGTTGGGATACCCTTTGGGGGAGTGTGTTACCTTGGTGAGGGGCAGGTGGGAGGGCAGAGAAACCCCCTCCTGCCTCAGCAGACGCTTCTCTTCTTCTGTCAGGAACAGGGTTTGACAGGGCAGCTGGGGGTGGGGAACAGGAAAAGATGAGACGGAAGTGGGGAGGGGTCATGCCATTCCAGCACCTGGGCGTCTCTTGCCTTCTGAAGTGTGACTATTGGCACTGAGGGATAACTCCAACCAGAGGTGAGCTGGGGGGCAGAGACCTTAACTCAGACAGGCTCTGGCTCAAGCCAAAGGGACCTCGAGGCTGAGAAGGAGAGAGGTGGTTTGTCATCTTATGCCTAGGCACTCAGCAGGCCAGGGGGGACCTCTTCTGGCTCTTGTCTCCCCAGAACCTAGGGCACCTTCAGAGGATCTGGAGGAACTCAATATAGTGGGGTCTGCTACATTTCCTTCCAGCAGACAAATGACTTTCAGCCATTAGCTTAAATTTGGTGGAATGGGTTGACAGTCTTCTTGCCTGTCAAACCAGGGAGGCCCCCTAGGGCCATGGCCCAATCTCCCCTCCATGTGAGCTATACTTTTCAGACTGAGGTTTTGTCCCTTCTTAGACAAGGAACTCTCCTAGGGCAGCCAGACTGAAGGGCTTCTCGCAGCACTTGGGCCCATTAGTTGGTGTCTGCCAACTAAGTGACTTGATTGCACTAACATGCCTTTTCAAAAGGTTTCTGCTTTGAGACTTAAGAAATTGCTTTCGCTTTTGCCTCCAGATAGTCTTTGGCTTTTGGCAGAAACCATTTCCTATCTGCCTTTCCCTGATGTTCCCTTCTAGTTCCTGAGACTGGTGGATCTACAGAGGAAGTCTCTTCCAAGTCAAGCCACCTAATCAGAACCTCTGGAAATAAGGCCTAGAGGGTTTGACCTGAAAACAAAACTACAAACACCCCAGTGTACCTGATGGGCACTCAAGTTTAGAAGCATCAGACTTTTTTTTTTTTTTTTTAAGATTTTTGCTATATGGTATGTACTACACTCACAGGGGTGGGGGGAAATAAATCCCTCTTCCCCACCCCCCAGGGAGAATGGCCATGCAGCAATCCCTTCTCCATTCTCCTCTTGAGATTTTGGGCAGACACACACACATGCCTGGAGTGATTTTCAAGCTAACGGGTCTGGGGTCTCCAACTACACAGTCGGCCATGTGGGAATCTAGACCTTAACTACCAAGCCACCTGCTTGCTCAGTGACAGGCTTTTTAAGGTCCCTCAGCCCAAGGTCCTAAGGTGCTGGGCTTGGCTTCAGTTCCCAGCTTCAACCACGGTTTGAAGGGAAGCTTCTTCTTTCTCTGCTTTTTATTTTTATTTTATTTATTTATTTATTCAATTATTTATTTATTGGAGAGGTTTTTGCTATAGGGCGCGTGCGCTCGCCAGACAGAGAGAGATAGACAGAAAGTGAGAAATCACCCCCCAGGGGGGATGGCCACGCCGCAATCCCTTCTTCTCCGTTCTCCTCTCGGGGTCTTGGGCACGCACGCACACGCACCCGGCGTGAGTTTTAAGTCCGGGACACGAACCACAGTCAACTACATGGGAATCCAGCGACATAGCCATTATGCCAACTGCTGGTCCCCTTTCCCTGCTTTTCAGCCACAAGGATTATTCTCCAGAGTAAAGGGAGGAACAGGGACCTGAGCAAGCCTCTTCGCCAGCCCCCACCATAGGAACCTGCTGAGCCCAGCAGGAGCAGCAGATCCTGCTCTGTTACAATGTGTAGCACTGGCTAGAGGCTGCCATTGGACAACAGTTCCACTGAAACACTGTTGCAGTTGCTTCTTTCACTGAACCCATTTGGATTCCCAGGTGGCCTGTCCCATTTCCTGTCCTGAGGAGGCTGAGACAATGGCTCTAGCTGAGCATGGGGTGCACACAAGGCCTGGGCTTTCTCCCAAGCCCTGTTTCCAACATCCCTCACCCCGCCTTCTTAACTGAGTCCTCAGCACCTTACCCCATGTGAGTGCTCTCTCTTGCCCTTCCCTGCTCTCAGGGTTGCTCACATCTCCCAGGTCTTCAGACACAATTCCATAAATCATGAGGCAAAGACAGCTTATCATCAGTTTCCTCCTCCCCCACCCCCATCTGTATGATTAGATATGTATCAGGGATGTGTGTATTAGGGAGCACAGGTTCTGGCTGGCCCCAAACTCACCAGGGCTGCAGGAGGCACCGAGGCTACGCTGGCTGCTCCGGACAGGATGTGGCCATGAGTATCAAAGTGCAGCTCGCTGACCGTGCCAGGATCAGGCACCATAAATGGCGGGCTCCACTGATCTGAGGAAGACACAAGTGACTAGCAGAAAGGAGACGTAGAGACACCCTGATGGCAGCAGGGCCTGGGGAGCAGCACAGGTTGGAAACCTCCATTACCCCTGTGACGTGGGCTGGACCTGAAGGCCCATTCTCACCCAGAACACTGACCTAGCTGGATGGAGATGAGCCCTACGGCTGGCCCAGCTTCCCCCTGCATCCTCTCCAGGGCCTCTGCCTCATACACAACTTCATAGAGGGCTGGAGAACTGGGTGCCCTGGGGGCAGGGGGAGTGTCTGGATGGCCAGGGTCCTCGGAGATGCCACTGTCACTGCCAGGAGATGCTTCTGAGCAGTACACCTCATTGGGATCGATGAAAAGATTCAGGAGATCTTCAGGTTCACTCTCTTGAAGGCCCTACGGTAGGAAAGGGTATATATGTGTGCAGGGCAGAATTCTGGAAGTCCCATCTGACATCAGACCTAGCTCTTTCATGATTTAATTTTAATCCTTTTCTTCTTGGAAATAATTACAACTATCCATTTTGGGATCTCTGTTTTCAGACCTCTCTCAAGTGGAGGCTGAAGACTCCTAGCGTCTTACCACAAAGTCCTGTGTTAAAGCCACCCCACTCCCACTCATCACACTCACACAACCACGGCCCCCACTGCATTCCCAGCCTTGCAACCCCTGTTCTTGTAGCCTGGCCAGCGGGACCTCTGGGGGACAGTGGAGTCCCAGCTCCAGGAAGGATCCTGTAGAAAAGGTATCTTCTGGGGGCTCCAGCCACACGTCCAATAGGTCAGAGGTTCCTGGATCCATGCTTCTGTGGGAAGGTATGTGGGCCGGAGTTGCAGAAAGATGATGGTTGCCCCCTAACCCCTCTGGGCCCCTCTGCTCCCTGTACCATTATCCTCCTTCGTCACCTGCGCAGCCCCCTCACCTGTCACCTGGAGACCTCGCCTCCTGCCTTTATCGCTTAGGTTCAGCCAAACGGGCCCCCTGGGTATTACCTTTTCCGAAGAACCTAGCCTTGCCAAGCCAGCCTAGACCGCGGACGGCCCCAAACACTACACCTTTTCTTTTCTCCAGGATCTTGTATCCTGGATCTGCCCAGCCAAACCCCGCCCCAAGGCTAACGCCAAGAGGGTTGCACCTTGCCAGGAGCCACCGCAGGGGCGCTGTATCAGGGAGTGGGGGACGAGGCTGAGCGAGGAGGTTAAGGAAAACTTAGGTAGCCATGCCCCCTCTGCCTCAGTTTCTCCTAGCGGCAGTACATCTTCCTGAGGCTTTGGTGTCCTAGGGACGAACGCTTGTTCTTCAGGCATTGCTTTTGCGGAGGATCACAGTCGGGCGTCCACAAAGGCGGAAAGAGTCCAGAGTTGGCCTGAGATTCAGGGAAACATTCCCTCCCCCTCCACGTGGCGCTGTGCCCACAGTTGAGCCCTGATTGGAAGCTACGGACCTAAAAGGTTTTGAAAGACAGGACACCGACCCAATGGCGTTATCCACTCGGTAACCGGTCGGGATAGGCTGTCCGAAGAGAGTCAGACCAATGGGGCCGCAGTATTTATTTACCAGGGGAAAGGATTGGTTCACCGGACCAAAGGGCGGGGTTCGAACCAGAAAGGAAGTTGTAGGGAAGTTGGGGAGAAGTTATGAGGGTGTGGGTAGTACAGTGGTTCGGTTTCGCTTCCCGCGTGATGCGGAAGCCCAGGTTATTACCTGAGCGGAGATTACCCCGAAAGCTTTGATTCTGAGGGCGAGGACCTCGCTGTGGCTTTTCCAAGTCCGCAATCTGTGCATTTTGGTAACCGATGAAGAACACCAGTTGTACTTCTACAGTACTGGATTTTCTTAACTAAAGGAGGGACAAGGGCCTGGGAAACCGCAGCAATTTTTAAAAAATTGCTTTTGGATGAGGCTGGCAGGCGGTGTGGTGGTTAAAGGTGCTGTGCTGAGCTCTCACATGGGCTGGTCCGGGCGGCGTGCTTTCTCACTTTCCCTCTCTCTTTCTCTGCTCAATTTTTTTTTTTTTTTTGTAATTTTTAAAGAATTATTTTATTTAACTTTAATATTGTTATATTTCCAGAGAGACAGAGAGAGAGAGAGAGAGAGAGGGTAAGTGAGAAAGCAAGCCTCCAGATCCAGGGCTCGAAAACTTAGCCGTGTGGGAGTCCAGCACCCTTAACCACATTCCCATTAGCCGGCCCCTCTCTGGTCATATTTTTAAAAATAATAAAAATAGGGGCTGGCAGGTGGCATGGTGGCTAAGGGTGTTGAATTCCCACATGGCCAACCACGGTTCAAGTCCTGGACCTGGTGGCTTGCTTTCTCACTTTCCATCTCTCACTTTCTCTCATTCTGTACCTCGCTGGTCAAATTAAAATAAATAAATTTTAAAAAATAAAAATAAAGTTGAATAAAGTAATTATTTAAAAAGTATTGCGTTTGGTTTGGGAATTTGTCTTATTGTTTGCTCATAACTACCAGCAACATTATACTGTGTTTGTATCATTTACAAAATATCTTCATAAACATTGTTTACTCATTTAATCCACAACAGCTCTGAGGCACTTAAGGCAGGTAGTATTTTGCTAATTTTGCAGATGAGGCAGAAACCATGACTTGTTAGTAGTAATATCAAGATTCAGGACTTTTTACCTTGGTCTGGTGTCTGATGGTCTAGAATTCACTTCAAATAAAATAAAAGCACTGGGACCAGCAGTTAGCATATGGCTATGTTGCTGAACTCCCATGTAGTCAACCGCAGTTCGAGTCCTGGACCCCATGGCTTAAACTCACGCAGGGCGCATATGCATTCGTGCCCAAGATCCCGAGAGGACAATGGAGGAGAAGGGTTTGCAGCGTGGCCATACCCCCTGGGGGGTGATGTCTTGCTTTCTGTCTCTGTCTCTTTCTTGTGAGCGCATGCACCCTATAGCCAAAAAACCCTCTCCAAAGTAATAATAATAATAGTAAAATAAAAGCACAATACTGAGGATTTTCATTCACCTGCTTCCCAATATTACTAAAGATAAAGGGTAGGGACCAGCAGTTGGTGTAATGGCTATGTCGCTGGACTCCCACATAGCAGACTGCAGTTTGAGTCCTGGACCTGGTGTCTTAAACTCACACCGGGCGCGTGTGCGTGCGTGCCCAAGATCCTGAGAGGAGAATGGAGGAGAAGGGATTGCGGCGTGGCCATCCCCCCTGGGGGGTGATGTCTCGCTTTCTGTCTCTCTGTCTCTGTCTTTCTGGTGAGTGCATGTGCTCTATAGCAAACCCCCCCCCCAAAAAAAAAAAAAAAGAGATAAAAGGTAGCTGGGTGAGTGCAGCAGAAAAGTTTGGGGTATGGATTCCAACTTTATACATATTCCAACTTTAAATGGACTCCAGCTTTAAAGTTGGTATTCTTATGAAGATTTGACTGGACTAAGGGTGAAGACAGGAATAGAACAAGATCTAATATTTATCAAACGACTATTATATGTCAGGCCTTTTCACTGTACTCAATAATTCTCATAGCAACTTACAGCTGATAGGGAACTAAGTACTTTCTCAAGGTTGTTCTGTAAGTAGCAGAACCCAGATTTGGATCTCTGAGCCCACGCGTTTTGCACTAGACTCAGCTGCCTTGCTAGCCCTTCTCAAACACCCCAAGTCCTTCGTTCCTGCTCCTCTTTCCTCTGTATCCTGTTTGAATAGTGGAGAGACAAGGAAGGCTTCCTACTGATCTAGTGCTTTATGGAAATGGGAGCTATTCTTGTCTAGATCTTTCCTAGAGCAAGGAAGATAGTTAAATGTGTGTGTGTGTGTGTGTGTGTGTGTGTGTGTGTGTTTTGGAGAGGTTTTTGCCATAGGGTTCATGCGCTCACCAGAAAGACAGAGAGAGACAGAAAGCGAGAAATCACCCCCCAGGGGGGATGGCCATGCTGCAATCCCTTCTCTTCCATCCTCTTCTCAGGATCTTGGGCACGCACGCACACGTGCCCAGCGTGAGTTTAAGCCACTAGGTCCGGGACTCGAACTGCGGTCGGCTACATGGGAGTCCAGCAACATAGCCATTATGCTAACTGCTGGTCTGAGTTAAATGTGTTTTAAGGGGCTTTCCTGCAGCCTGTAAATGTAGATGAAGTGGAAAACATAGCCTCCATTAATGTTAGAACTGGAAGGAACCTCTGAAATCATCTGTTAGTTTAACTTCCCTCTTTTTGCTGATTAATGAAGCTCTTCCTTGTCTAAAAAAATTTTTTTTCCTTGGGGATAAGCAGGTGGCATGGTGGTTAAGGTGCTGGATATTCCCACATGGCTGACCAGAGTTTGAGTCCTGAATCTGGTGGCTTGCTTTCTCACTTCTCTCTCTCACTCTCACCCTCTGTCTCTCTCTGGTCAAGTTAAAAAAAAAAAAAAAAAAAAAAGAGTGAATGAATAAATACAATTAAATAAATATTTTAAAAAATTTTTTCTTGCCTAAAATTACACACACATCAAATCTATTTGAACTTCAAATTACATAGAAAACAAGATGGCAACTACAGCCAATAACAATATATTATATACTGGAAAATCCCTAATGAAGTAAATTTTTTTCCCTTTATGGCATATGTGTTTGCAAGAGAGGGACAGAGACAGAGAGAAAGTGAGAAGTCACTCCTTGGTGAGATGGTCATGATGCAGTCCCTTCTCTTCCATTTTCCTTTAGGGATTTTGGGTACACACATCCAGGTACCCAGTGTGATTTTCAATCTGCCGGGTCAGGGACTTGAACCACAGACTTGAACTATGTGGATCCAGTTGCTTTAACCATCATATCCCCCACTGACTGCTAATTGAATAGATTTTAAATGTTCACACCACAGATAAAGGATAAGCATGTGAGGTAATACATATGTTAATTGGCTTGATAATGCCATTCCACAATATATATGTATTTTTAAAATGCATATTCTACATTATTATATATACAATTTTAATTTGTTATTCTAAAAATAAATGAATAATTCTGTATCTGTATACCTGATATATATGTGTATAAATGTGAGTGTGGGTGTGTATGTATATCTATGTAACAGAGCTGGGACAAGAATCTAGGTGTCCTGAGACCCAGTCATCATGTTTCCTTGTTATTGTTACCAATTACCAATAATCTTTTTAAAAAATTATTTATTTAACTTTATTTTTAATTTGACCAGAGAGAGACAGAGACAAGAGAGGGAAAGCGAGGAAGCAAGCTGCCAGGTCTGGGACTTGAACTATGGTTGGCCATGTGGGAGTCCAGTGCCTTCACCACCACACCATCTGCTGGCTCCCCAATAATATATTTTTTTGGAGAGATTTTTGCTATAGGGCACATGCACTTGCCGGAAAGACAGAGAGAGACAGAGAGACAGAAGGCGAGAAATTATCCCCTGGGGAGGGATGGCTATGCCACAATTCCTTCTTCTCCATTCTCCTCTTGGGATCTTAGGCACACACGCATACGCACCCGGCATGAGTTTAAGCCACTGGGTCTGGGTCTTGAACCGTGGTCGGCTACGTGGGAGTCCAGCGACATAGCCATTACGCTAGTCAGTTTCCTTTCCAGGAGACAAAAAGTGTGAGTCTTCCCTTATCTTTTGAGCAAATTAAAGCAGCTGGGGCCCAGTGAGTGGCACAGCTGGATTCCCACATGGTCAAGTATGTGGTTTATGTCCTGGGCCCAGCAGCTTCAAAAAGTGTTTGGGGGACCAGCAGTTAGTGTAATGGCTATGTCGCTGGACTCCCATGTAGTTGACTGCAGTTCGCGTCCTGGACCCGGTGGCTTGGAACTCACGCCGGACACGTGTGCGTGCGTGCCCAAGATCCCGAGAGGAGAATGGAGGAGAAGGGATTGTGGCGTGACCAACCCCCTGGGGGGTGATTTCTCGCTTTCTGTCTCCATGTCTCTGTCTGTCTGTCTGGCGAGCGCACGTGCCCTATAGCAAAAATCTCTCCAAAAAAAAAAAATGCTTGGGGGCTTGGTGGCGCCCGCCCTACGGCAAAAAAAAGTGCTTGGGACCAGCAGTTAGCATAATGGTTATGTCGCTGGATTCCCATGTAGCCGACCGCGGTTCAAGACCCGGACCTGGTGGCTTAAACTCACACCAGGCGCGTGTGCCCAAGATCCCAAGAGGAGAATGGAGGAGAAGGGATTGCGGCATGGTCATCCCCCCTGGGGGGGTGATTTCTCGCTTTCTGTCTCCATGTCTCTGTCTGTCTGTCTGGCGAGCGCACGTGCCCTATAGCAAAAATCTCTCCAAAAAATTTATTTATTTAGCTAGTTATTTTTTATTTGACCAGAGAGGGCAGAATGGGGGAGAAAGAGAGAGAGAAAGTGAGAAAGCAATCCACCAGGTCCGGGATGCTAAACGCAGTCAGCCATGTGGGAGTCCAGTGCCGCAAACCACCACACCACCTGCTGGCCCTAGATTGATAGTTTAAGGATGTATTTGAAAAATCTTCAAATGAGCTTTAATTTATTTATTTTAAATTTGCTATACTGCATGTGTGCTTGACGGAGAGAGACAAAGAGAGAAAGCACTTTTCAGGGGGGATGGTCACGGAAGTTCCTCTATGTGGTGTGTTTTTTAAGCCACCAGATTGGGACTGGCAGCATGAAGTCAGGCCATGTGGAATCAGTCACCTCAATCACCACGCCACTGGTCCCCAGATGAGCCTGTAAATGCCATAGTATGAAAATCCTCAAAGACATCTATGCAAACAAGGTTCTAAGTAATTTGACACAAACCGCAGCATGCATAATATTCCCTTGGATAATCTGGAATTGTCTTTAATGTCAATTTTTATTTTTAAATTAAGAACACCAGTGACCATGAGTAAATGATGGGACATCAATATCCCATTTCACTTACACCCTGATCTAGAGCCTTATCAATTCCTTTCTCTTAGATCCTCTCCCTCGAGAGTCCTCACATTCCCCCTTTATGAGAGTTGCCGGCCTCCATTTCTAGAGTCTTATCAGAGGCATCATTCTGTCCCTTCTTTAGGCAAAGGCTTCTTGAATTTGCAAGAAAGAATGGAGTGAAACTTCTTTTTTTTCTTCTTTTGTACCACTGGGCCATGAAGTTAGAAGAGGATTCTCAAGCACGGGGTCGTTGAGTCAAGCGGATCCAGGCTGAGGAAACAGTGAAGATTTTGAGTTGAAAATACCTTGGTGCATTCAAGGAACCGAAAACAGGAATGAGGCCTACAGGGCCGGAGGAAGAGGAGCTGGAGAGAGCAAGATAGGGTGGGAGAGAATCCTGGCTTGATGCCTTGAGGCTTGGTAAGCACAGCGAACAGGGAGTAGGAGTATGCTGATTGAGCCTCTTTATTAGGCGGGTTGCGTCCCACCACTTTTCCACCCGCGCAGGGAAGGCTGGAGGCTGCAGTAAACTCAGCTCGGTTGGTTACTTAAAAGGGGATGGTTTGCAAGACACTTCTCTTCTGCTTTCCCCGAGTCCTTTCTGCCTTGTCTTTTTTTTTTTTTCCTCTTACGGGTGCTGGCGAGGGGAGTCAGGCAAGGAGATTCGTCCGAAGTAGAGAATGCGTTTTCTTTGGCGCCATAGCGCACGGATGCGGGTCTCGGCCACTAAGAGATAAGATCAAGACTGTGGCTTAGGGCCAGGCAGATATCCTGAGATTTGAGGGGCGAGGATCGGGCTCCAGCCTTGATCGAAGGGTTTCCAGCGAACTGTTTAAAAACTCTGGCCGGTCTCTCTCCAGAACAGCGCCCAGCCCCACAAACACAGGACCCTCCTCTCCCTCGCTCCCAACCTCGCTCTCGCCGACTCTTTGCTCGCCTCCTTCTCCGCCCTCTCCGCCTCCGGGCCTCTGGTTGCTTCCAACTCACGTCACTCAGGGCCAGGCCCCGCCCACCCAGCGCTCGAGCGGATACCATGGAGTGAGACCCTCGCGAGGTGAGTGCGGACTCCCAGGGCGGGCTCCGGGGCTGCGGCCCGGGCCTCCCGGGACCTGGGAGGCGGCGTCCCAGCTCTCACATTTCTCCCCCTCCGCGACGCTGGCGGCCTCGGACCCCGCCTCCGGAGCCCGGACTTCCAGACGCCGCCCTCGGTGTCGTCTCAGCCTGTCCCGGGACCCCGGAGCCCTAGGGCCCCTTCTCTTTTGGCCATCTGCCCCGGCGTCCCAGCCTGCGGCGTGAAGCGCTGGCTTTCTGCTTTTCGGGGGTTGGCTCTGGGGAAAGAGGGCCGAGAGAGCGATCCAGCGCCCAGCTCGTCCTGTCCAGGTGGTCCATGAACCCGCCCGGGACTTCTCTCCGCGGCTCCGACCCCGTTTCACTTCTTCTGCCCCATCTTGGAGTGGGGGGCCTGGCCGCTATCTTCCTTTGGGGACCCCATCTTCAAGTCCTACCCGGAGGTGGTGGCCCCTAGTTGTCTGAGGGCTGCGAGTGGAAGGGCATTGAGATAGCCACGCAGTGTTTCTCAGGCCTCAGTTTCCCCTTGCTGGGGTCCTGAGTAAGTCACTTGGGAGAGAGTCTGAGGAGGAGGGACGTTCCTCTTCTGGGAGTGGATGAGTCACACTGGGTTGGGAAGGTCAGAAAGGGGCTGGGGTGAGGGAGCTGCGCTCTGCTGACCAGCCTTCCCCTTCCCTGGGCCCCATCTTTCCTCTCGTGACATTCCCCACCTACTTCTGTCTTCCTAGGTCCCGAGAGTCATTGGAGCTACCACAACCACCATGGGGCCCTGGGAAGAGCCAGAGCTCCTGGTGTGGCGTCCAGAGGCGGTAGCTTCCGAGCCCCCCATGCCTGTGGGGCTGGAGGTGAAGTTGGGGGCCCTGGTGCTGCTGCTGGTGCTCACCCTGCTCTGCAGTCTGGTGCCCATCTGTGTGCTGCGCAGGCCTGGAGCTAACCAGGAAGCCTCAGGTAAGCCTGCCCTTTCTCTGCTGCTAAGGAAACTTGGGCTGGGGAGGACTCTGAGACTGGGGGAGGTGACCTCAGAAGGAAGGGAAGGCAAAGTGGCCCTCGCTCCGGTTAGGGTGATGGGGCCTGGAGGGGGGGTTTATTCGCTCATTCTCCTCTGCTTCACTCCTGCCCAGCTGCCCGCCAGAAAGCCCTGAGCCTAGTAAGCTGCTTTGCGGGGGGTGTCTTTTTGGCCACCTGTCTTCTGGATCTGCTGCCTGATTACCTGGCTGCCATAGATGAGGCCTTGGCGGCCCTGCACGTGACGGTGAGCATTGGCCTGGGACATGTGACTCTATGTACAGGGGGACATGGGCGTGTCCAGTTGCAATCCTCTAGGTGACATGGTTTGTATGGGTCTGTTCTTGTGTCACTCTGTGACCCTGTGGAAGGCTCTTGGTTTGTGATCCTATGAATTGTGATTTTGGTTATAGGACATAACTGGGTGCCTTCCCTCCCCTCCACCCTGTGTGGCCCCAGCGTACCCTGTGAGACCTTAGTGTCACCTTATCAGCTGTCCGACTCTGTGAGTTTTTTACTTCCAGCTGTTGGGAAGTTAACAGGACTCCAAGAATCACGTTCCTCTTTGTGCCTCTTTCCTGAAGAGCTGGAGATAGAGTTCCCTGGAGGCCTGGGAAGTGTAGAAGCAGTTCCCAGGGAGCTGATGTTGCAGACCAGAAAGGCTTTAGCCCCAGGAATTGGGATGTGGGGAGTGACCCAGTCCAAGGCATCGGAAAATCTGGGTAGTGTTACAGGGAAGTCATCCTCAGCTCTTTCCCCTCTTGTTCCCTAAGACGGAGGAAGTAACCCTGGATGTAACCCTTCGTGTGTCTCTGCCCGAGTGTCCCTATGACAGTGTGTGACTCTGCACATAAGCATTTGGGGAGGTGTGTCTTCCTGTGCTAGTTTGTGTGCATCTGTACCTGACTCCCACCTGGGGCTGTTTTGTCCCCAGGGTACATTTGATAATAACATTGTTGGTTGTCACAACTGGAGAGGTAGGGGAGTGTGGTGCTTGCTACTGGCATCTGGTGGGCAGAGGCCAGGGATGCTGCTAAACAACCTGTGGTGCCCAGGATAGCGCCTATAATGATTTTCTGTCCCAAAGTATTAATAATGCCCAAACTGTGAAATTTAGGTCTGCGTCTAATTCTGTAACACTGTAATCTATGTAACTGTGTATCACGCAGATACACTTGGAGTCCATGTCACCAGGTAGCTATCTTTGTGTGATTGGGAATGGCCCTATGCCTGTGTGGGACCCTAAGTCTGTGTAGCTGGGCCTCTACCAGACCCTGATTCTTTCTTCCATTCTCCGCCATTCTCCTGAACTCCTTGTTGTCCCCTCTGCCCACAGCTCCAGTTCCCCCTGCAAGAGTTCATTCTGGCCATGGGCTTCTTCCTGGTCCTGGTGATGGAGCAGATCACGCTGGCTTACAAGGAGCAGTCGGGGCCACTACCTCGGGAGGAGACAAGGGCCCTGCTGGGAACAGTGAATGGTGGACCTCAGCACTGGCATGATGGGCCAGGGGTCCCACAGGCAAGCGGAGCTCCAGCAGCCCCCTCCGCCCTGCGTGCCTGTGTATTGGTCTTCTCCCTGGCCCTGCACTCAGTGTTTGAGGGGCTGGCTGTGGGGCTGCAACGAGACAGGGCTCGGGCCATGGAGCTGTGCCTGGCTTTGCTGCTCCACAAGGGTATTCTGGCTGTCAGCCTGTCCCTGCGGCTGCTGCAGAGCCACTTGAGGGTGCAGGTGGTGGCTGGATGTGGGATCCTCTTCTCGTGCATGACACCTCTGGGCATCGGGCTGGGTGCAGCTCTGGCAGAGTCAGCCGGGCCTCTGCATCAGCTGGCCCAGTCTGTGCTGGAGGGCATGGCGGCTGGTACCTTCCTCTATATCACCTTCCTGGAAATCTTGCCCCAGGAGCTGGCCACTCCTGAGCAGAGGATCCTCAAGGTCATTCTACTTCTAGCAGGCTTTGCCCTGCTCACTGGTCTGCTCTTCATTCAAATCTAGGGGGCTTCAAGAGAGGGGCAGGGGAGATTGACCATCAGGTACCCTGCCCTTCCCTCTCCCAGTCTGTGGAGAATAGGAAGGGATGGGGAAGGTACTGAGGGAGGCACTGAGGACCAAAGAGTTCTCTGGGAGGTAGGAACGGGACCTTTGGGACTATCTGACCATCAAGAAGGAAGTAGGCAGACCAAAAAAGGCTGACCCCAGGCCCAAGGAACAAGAGATGGTCAAGTCACTAGTGACACGATCAAAGAGCATTAGGACTGGGGAAGACACTTCCTGCTAGAACCAGGGGCCAGACACTACACGTGGGGGCGCACTGACACAGGTTGGATGTAGGTGGGCACCCAGCTGCTGTGGGGTCGATGTATGGAAGGGGCATGGGCTTCACGTCAGCATCCTGTTGGTTCTAGCCCATTTCAGCTCTGCCACGTGGAGTGGATCTCTTTACTTTTCTTAGCTCCTACTTCCATATCTGTCTCCCTCTCCCCTTTTCCCAGGAGACTAGTGCCAAATGGTCTCCCCCTGCTGGTTTGGTACCTTCTCCAGTCCTGTTCAATCTAAAGTGCCAAACAAATCCCCTCTCCTGTCTAAGCACAGTGATGTGGCACTGAGCCTTGCCCAGCACCTCAGTGGAGGGGCCTGCCTGCTCTTGATTTTGGTCCCAGATCCTAAGGTGGGCAGAAATGTCTGAGCTGGGGTGGGGCAGGGTTAGAGAGCTGTAGCCACCTACTGCTACTGCATCCGAGGAATATGGAACCTGGACATGGCGCCCCATGCCTAGATGATCAACATCAAGCTGCCAAAACTCTTTTGTATACTCCAGGAACCCGAGGGGGAAGGAGAAAGCCCACCTCCAAGGTTATTTTGGGGGAGGGAGGGCTGTACATAGGGCCATATTCTCTAGAGTCTATTTTACTAACTGACCTGTTTTGGGACATGTTACCCAAATAAAAGATGTTTCTATACAGCTGTACAGTATCTGATTCATTTGTCTTGGGAAAGGGCTGGGCATGTGACTGGACCTGACTCCCAGATGTTTAGAACTTTTTTTCCCCCATAGGGTGCTTGTACTCTCAGAGACAGAAAGGGAAAGTAAGAAATCACCCTCCAGGGGAGATGGCCAATTCACAATCCCTCTACTCCATTCTCATTCTAGGATTCTGGGCACACATGCACATGTGCCCAATGTGATTTTTTTTTAAGAGAGATTTTTGCTATAGGACAAAGAGAGAGACAGACACAGTGAGAGGGAAGGTGAGAAATCACCCCCATCAGTGGGGATGGTCATGCTGCAATCCCTTCTCCATTCTCTCAGGATTTGGGGCATGCATGCACATGTGCTGGCATGAGTTTTAAGCTGCCAGGTCCAGAACTAAAACTGCAGTCAACTACATGGGAGTCCAGTGACATAACCATTATGCTATCTGCTGGTCCCAATTTTAATTTATTTTTTACATTCAATCACTACAGCTCATGAAGTGAATTTACTGCACACGAATACACTTCATACCAGTCCAGTCAAGATACCATATGTTACTATCATCTGATAATCATATCTGTGTCCCATAAATGTCTTGCCTGTATTTTCTCCTTGATTCCTTTCTTCTCCCCCTTCTCCCACCCTCTTTCTACACTGTATCCAGTATCCATACTCATTTTCCATGCTTCTATATCCTCTAACCTTTCGGTTTCCGCCATAGAGTACCGACAGTCCGTATGTATTACAGTTGGTTTATATTAAGTGGAGAGCATGTCTCTCATAGCCTGGTTTGCTTCACTCAACAGTAAATCTTTCATATTTGTCCACTTTAAGTTTACTTACTTATTTCTTTTCATTTGACCAGGGAGGGAAGGAGGTGGAAGACAGAGAGAGAGAAAGCAAGCCGGCCACCATGTCTGGGACTCCAACCCTGGTGTGCCATGTGGGAGTCCAGCGCCCTTAGCCACCACGCCACTTGCCAGCCCACATATTCGTCCACTTTCTTTTTTTTTTTTTTTTTTTTTTGAGAGATTTTTGCCCTCGCCAGAGAGAGAGAGAGAGAGAGACATAGAGACAAAAAGCGAGAAATCACCCCATAGGGGGGATGGTCACGCCGCAATCCCTTCTCCTCCATTCTCCTCTGGGGATCTTGGGCACGCACGCACACGCGCCCGGCGTGAGTTTTAAGCCACCGCGTCCGGGACGCGAACCGCGGTTGACTACCTGGGAGTCCAGCGACATAGCCATTACGCTAACTGCTGGTTCCCATATTCGTCCACTTTCTATCAAATGCCAGGATGCCCAATGTGATTTTAAAGCCTCTGGGGCCAACACTTTAAGTACAGTCGGCCATGTGGGAGTCTAGCCCCCTGACTACCAAACCACCTGCTGGCCCCACAGCTGTTTTAAGATCCTTGATCTCACTATTTTCCCTCAGGCCCCAATAGTCCTTTTCCTTACACTAGACCAAGTTCGTCCCCTTCTTTGTCTCTTTCTACTCTCGCTTCCCTATCCTTTCCCCCCCTTTCCCTCCCTCCTCGCCTCAATCCCTCTCCCCTCCCATTTCGATGCTCTGGACTAATTTAGAACTACTCTTCCCAGCTTGCCCCGCGCTGGGAGTAGCCGAGTGGGAGGGACGAAGCCCCCAGGTCCCGCTGTCGGTTGGGCTGCTGGGAAATGGAGTCCGTTTCCTCTCCGTGCTGCGTGACTGGGGATGTGACGGAGTCACGTAAACAAACTACAATTCCCGGCAACCGCCGCGAGCAGCAGGTCAGGGCTCGGCTGGGGCCGGG